TTTTACAAGCACAGTATACAATGAACTGATGGATGTTGTATGTCTTGCCAGAAGGCTTTAGTACCAGAAAATGGTAGAAAATGGTGAACTTAAGTGTAGGCTAAGGTGGGTTTTTCGCCTTTCTTTTTTTTTTTCCCTTGGACTCTTGATGTACTTGAAATCAATTTAAGTAAAATTGTAAGAGAACGGGAAAAAAATATTTCCTAACAACAGACTTAACTTTATATGGCAAGATGTCTGCCGGGTAAATGTAACTGCCAGATATGGACAGAATGGATATTTGTCTCCTTCTTATAAATTTCTGAAAGCCTTTATTTAGGTGTTGCTTTTACCAAAGTTCAGTGATCTGCCAGCTTAAATGCTTAAAGCTGTTTTGACATCTAAGCAGAAGTTGTTTTGGAGTCCAACAATGCTTCCTAATTTATCAGCTATGAGTACCTTAGTGATAGAATTGTATGCAGTTCATCACAAACCAGCCTTGCAGTAAAACTGTTTGAACAGTAACATCTTGGAATCAAAAACATCTGCCAAGGAAATAAATCACTTGTGGAAAGTCCCACTTTCAGTGTCTATGTATATTTGGGGAACTCCCTTTGTAGCTGTCTGCAGGAATGGGACTTTGGCAATCATGTTTGTACTTCTGCTCAGTTACGTGGTTTGTTTTTTTTTTTTAATCTATGTTCCAGTTTAAATTGTTCTCCAAGCACTGATGAAAGATAGAAGCTGATCACAGCCATAGCAGCATTTACAGTCTTTTTTACATGGACCTTGTATATGGGTAACAGGAACAATGAATGTGTCCATCTAATTTGAATAGTAAATGAAAGTAGAGTCTTGGTAATGTGACTGAATTTATTTTTAAAAATAAAAAACACTCAAAAAACCCCACCCAACCAAAAAAATCCAAAAACACAAAAAAAAAAAAAAAAAAAAAGAAAAACAGCAAAATACTTTAAGAACTTGCATTCTACTTTAAGTGTTACTTGTACCAGATTTTACAGGTGTGGTCTGACTGGCATAGACTTGACCCAGTTACCTTGCTGGGTGAAAGCTCCTTTACAGTTGGGGGGGGGGGTTTGATTCAGTAGAAATCCTTTAAACTTAACTTGAAAAACTACACATAAAAAAATTGCCAACATAGAAAATTATACTGAAATAACTGTACTGATTTTAATTCAATCCTTGTTTTGTAGAACTATTACATTTGGAAAAGACCTCTAAGATCATCAAGTCCAATGTCAACCTTGCACCAACACTGTATTCACCACTAACCCATGTCCTCAAGTGTCACATCTACATGTAGTTAAATACCTTCAGGGACGATGACTCCACTTTCCTGTGCAGCCTGTTCCAATGCCTGATAACCCTTTCTGTGAAGAAACTTTTTCTAATATACAATCTGAACCTCCTCTGGTGCAACTTGAGGCCATTTCCTCTAGTCCTATCACTTGTTACCAGGTAGAAGAGACTGACCCCCACCTGGCTACAACCTCCTGTCAGATAGTTGCAGAGGGTCATAAGGTTCCCCCTGAGCCTCCTTTTCTCCAAGCTAAACAATCCCAGCTCCCTCCTCATAGGACTTTTGCTCCAGACTCTTCACCAGCCTCATTGTCCTTCTCTGGACATGCTCCAGGATCTCAATATCTTTCTAGTAGTGAGGGACCCTACAATATATTATTATAAAATCTTGCTGTATTTTTCAAGGTTAGCTGATATAAGAGAATCTTTTAAATGATAATGTTCTTATTCTGAGTTTGCAGAAGGTTCTTGTCTTCCAGCTCTACTTTCTAATTTGCTTTTTTAGGAACTATGCATATACTGCAAATACTTTGTGGCTGTACATTGTTTTACAGGCGTTTGACAAACTGAACATTAATCATATCCCAAAATCAAAGTTGTGATATCATCTTCTGGGCGTGTGCCAAGCTCTTTGGTGACACAATCACGAAAAGTTCTGACTTTATTTTAACATTGATAGGCTCTTTCTCTGAGGTATGGCTTATTTATTGCAGACCACTGCTGCTGGGCTTATTTTGAAGTTCCAAGCCAACAATCTGTCTACGGATGTTCAGAGTTCAAGAGCCAGAGGGGTATAAGTAGCAATTTGGAAGCTTTTTGATCTGAAGTGTTTCTTGGGTTTAGATTGAATATATGTTATCAAGACTTCAGCTGCTTTTTTACTACACGCAATAAAGAAGTAGAAATATTAGGACTTCTTCAGCTCTTCTGAAGTAAGCTGAAGGAAGGAATGATAGTTGAAGTTTAAGGAATAGGAATTCTTTTGGCATCGAAAGAGGATTTTTGGAAATTTTGGCCTCATTTCTGCCCTTTGTTGCAGATTTGTTTTTTTTATATGATAATGCTGCAGTTCACCCAGCAGAAGTAATTCTGATGCGTAGTAATTTGCATTTTCACAAGATTGCCTTACTTAGTAGATGAAGGATTCAGGCGAGTGATTTGCACTTGCTCCTTTACACTCTGCAGTTGTGAAGCATGCAGTTGACAAATATATCATCTCTCAATACAGTGGATGTTTCCCCTGTGATCTACTTGGGACTAAACTACTTTGGTAGAATTAATAAAATAATAAGACTTCTCCTGATCCAAGCTTGTTAAAGTCAGTGAAGGATTAACAGAATGTGACCTTCCTTAATGCCTTCCTATACTGTAGGCTTTTATGGAAATATATAATGTGTGAACCTTACGTTATTCTCAGTGGAACATGACTACTGAGCTGACCTCTTGCTGCAGCTGAAAGAAAGTGGTTTTCATGCAGTTTTAATTTTTTTTGTTGCTTTGTTCATTTCCCTGCCTCGCCTGTTGCTGGGCTCTTCCTGGGCTGCTTTTATTTGCAGTCCATTCTTGCAGTTTCCTGTAAATTTGTCGGCAAGAGGAAGCTCTTGCTGCAGAGACAGCTCAGCCCTGCAGTGAGACCGGTGAATTTATACCGGTATTTTACTGCTCTTGTGTTCCATTAACTAATGATAAGTAGGATTGCTTTCTTCTGCCAGCAAGAGCTGTTCCTAACAATGGCAGAGAGGATTGGCTGACTTCCTGGGACAGTGGCCCTGCTGGATTGAAATCCAAATATTGGTTCCAGATGCTTTGGTTGTTCCTTTTAAGGCTATCTGAGTGATGTCTTATAATGTTAAAGAAATGAAGCAACTCCTTTGGAGTGGAATTCTCCCTAGGCTAGCTTGGTGCAAGGCTGCTCCTCATGACTAATTTTTGTGGGGACAAATGAAGGTTAGTGGTCTGAAAACCATATACCAAAGGTCCATGCATAACAAATTTTTGCTTTGTGAAGGATATATTTAATACTCTTTCACTTCTCTGACAGATGTATCAATCAAATCCATAAAGCTTTCATGTCTCTTCAGGCTTCTTGTTTGCAATTTTGAAATGCAATCCTTCTGATGAATGTTTGGTCTAGAAATTAAGCTAAATTTTCATTCTGCCAAAACTGTAAAGCATCTAAATTTGTACTGTCCCTTGGTGGAACATCAGCCTGTGTGTGTGTGAAATGGTTTCTATTTTGACTCTGGGACCATCTTGATAGTGTTGGAAATCACCAGAGAAGTCAAAATGGGATCTTGGAACTTGAAATGAAAAGTCCTGCTGCATTTGAGTGCTGAAATGAGGAAAGGAAGGGGACAGAAAGGTTAGAGTGGAAAAGCAGTATGTCAGGAACATGTGTTGGATAAAGGAGACTTAATTTGTTGAGGCCAAAGAGCATGGTACTATAAGTTGTAGAGTTTGGAGGGAAGATCCAAGACTTAGGTGTGTTACACCAGAAAAGGGAAAGAGGAACTGAAGTTTTTTTTCCAGTGTTACATACACTCAAATGCTGTAATTTTGACTGTACTTTTATTACTGGGGCAGAGATAAAGCTTTCAAAGATGCTAATGCAAACCTAGAAGAGTATGCTTAGATAGAGAACTTAGAAAGAAAAAAATACTTTAAAGCAGTGTGTGTTAATAATTAAAGTCTAAAGGGGTAACTGATATTGCAGCAAATAAGGCTTCCCCTTCCTATAGAGCATGGCTGTGGAAGGAATGCAGATGGATGTCCTATGGTGAGAGAACTGCTTTTCTAGCTGATACAGCCATGACCAGTACCTGAAATGTTATTTTCTTTTGTGCTTTGACTGTTGGGTAGTTTACAGAAAGAGATGATGTTGTATAGAGACTTCTTCTTCCTTCTATTTTAGGATACAGATTCACATCCATTTCCCTAAAAATACACGAAGTAAACTTTGCTTAACGTACTTACACTTTTGTCCATCATTCAGAAACTTGCTAGTTGGTTTTGTCTTATTTGAACTTTCTCACCTATGATGTTGTTTAATTCCAGACAAATCAGTGAAACACTTGAATCCTTTTTAGAACTCCATATGAAAATAAGTGTAAAAACAATGACATTTATTTATCATCAGTTGGTGATATTCATCCTGTAGAATTGTGCTTTGTGAGCCTCTTGAATTTGAATTTTATTGTCTTTTGTGGCAATGTATGGGCAAGACTTGCTCTAAAGCACATCTGTGCCTCAAAGTCTTTCAAAATGACTGTTTTGATTTTTCTTGGGTTGAAGAGGGAAAGAACAAGCTCCAGCTATGGGGGAGAAAACATGGAATACTCATCACAGTTCTGTGGTGCAGTGCAGGTACCTGAGGCACAAGCTCTTCAGAAGCACAGGCAGCGTTTCTGACCTGTGCCTCTGCCATTGTGAGAGCCTGAGAACACTGTAAGAAAAGAGGACGACTTTCTTTTTCTCCCATAGGAAAGTGGTTGATGAAAGGTGAGTAGGAAGAAAGTGAGCGCTGGAAAATCCCCTCTGCTTTCTAGCTCGATGTCTGGCAGAGGTTCGAGGTATGCAGGAATTGATTTATAACCTCTCTGGGAAGCCGGGAAATCTGACAAAGATAGTGCTGCCCACTGACACTGGGGGAAACAGGAAGTAGCAAAGGAAACAAGTCATTGCCTCGGCGTCACTTTTGGCCACAGCTCAGTGCAGATGCACAAGCGGTTGGGGCAGGGTTTCTTTCCCTTTTGTGTGGACTGCACAGCAGCTTCGCCGGCACGTTCAGCCTGGCAGTACCCACGACAGGGTGAAGCGCAGGGATGTTCCTGTCATGCCTGAGAGGGGTCACAAGTTATTAATGGCTTTGTCATCACAAAGGAAACAATCATTCGGTGAAACTGCCAGCAGGAAAACTATGTGTCGATCGGGCAAGGTCACCAGGTTAGTGCTTTCTGTGGCTTGTATTTCTGTCATCTTTTCTCTTTAAGGTAGAGAGCAGGCTACAACTAAGAGTAGAATACGGTCTCTGGGGTAAAATACTTTTAACTCATGCAGAAAATTAAAGGATAAATAATTAGAGAGTGTTGGTTGAAAACTTTTGCCAGAAAACAAAAGCAAGTTTAAGCAAGTTAAACAGAGTAAACTTACTTAAAACAGTGTATCTCAGTCAGCCTTAGTTCTCTGTTCCCTTTGTCTTGTAAGATTTATTTGACTTCACAGTGTTTGTACTGTGCTATTAATCTTTCTGAGAAACTATTGTGAAAGGGGCTGTTAAGTATTAAGAAATGGAATGTGTAGCCAAAAAACTGGGAGAGATATAGAAGAGTATTTCAGAAGTACTGGAGAATAAGTGGACAAGAGACTTGAAAATTCTGCAGAAAGCAGCTTTGGGAACAGCTGGTAAATGTTTAGGTGGTTGAATCAGAGAACTCATTTTTGCTCAGAATCGATGAGAGCACTTAGGGGAAGCTTTCATTTTACGGTTTTGCAGTATGCAATGCTGCCTCGGTTTTGGTAAAGCATTTTGTAGAGACTTCAGTCTCCCTCTGCATGATAGGAGGAATACATTCAGCTCTATAAGTTATGGGTTATGTATATCATGTTGTATGTAAGTTATATATTCAGAAGGAAACTAGCATCTGGCTTTGTTAGGTTTTACTTTCAAAACAGAATTTATGGACTAGAGGTTATGAGATACTACAGAGTTTTAAAAGTTCTCAGACACAATTGGTATAGAGGTAGTTGTTAAAACTTCAGGTTTAAAGCAGCTTTGGAGGCTGCTTTTTATTTTTTCCAGCATGACCGAACTGGGCTCCAGGACAGACCATAAATATTATTATAACAAGTGAGAACTTTTAATACAGCTTTTGGCAGCTGTAGTTTCAGAGATGAGGGTAATGTTTTTTTTACGCCTATATACTGCAAGATGTGGAGATGATCATATCTGCCATGTGTTCTGCTGAAGTTAAGCAAGAACTGAGGACTTGTGGCTTTTCCAGATGCAATCCTTAATTGAATCAGCTTGTACTTGCTTTAATTGGGCTAAATGCCAATAACTCTTAAGGCCAAGAGGGATAAATGCTCTTCTATAATGTAATCCAGATTTTAATGTGGCAGAATTTTACTTTTACTCATGGAAGGACTTTTAGACTGTAAAATTATGCCCTATCCTCCAATCTCACTATTCTAACTGAGAGGATATGTTAAAATTGCCTCACAGATGTGAATGCATCTGGTTCCTAGGTGAGTGGGAAGAAGAATAATGTGTGTGGCTATTTACTAGAAGCTTTCAACCAAATACTGCATGGGTGATGTTGCCTTTTGTTTGTAGCAGAGGACCACTGTCAGAGACAGCTTTGTCTTAGCTCTAGTTGCACATTGTGGGCCCTTCCTGGTAACTTCCTTGTCAGCTCCATGGAAGAGACTCTACTTATGCACCAGGAGTGAAAATGTGTGCTGGGATCTTTGGTTTGTAGTGCAAGAATATAACTGCATCAGAAACAACTTGGAATATCTTTCTGTTCTCAATGATGCCAAAGTTAACAGGCTCTGCAGTGACTTCAGTGCTTGCTATTGTGCATACCTGGTAATGCAACATTGATCTGTTCTTCAGGTAATGTATTTAAAAAATTATAAGAGGAATATCAAGAACAGAAGGAACCAATTCAGTGAGCTAAAGACTGTAGATGCTAAGACCAGAAAAATCTTTAAGAGCTTCCATTTTTCCTTCCTCTCTCCCACCCCTGCAATGAAGATCCTGAAGTTATACAGTTTTGACAGCTTTCTCCCAGCAGCATGATGCAAAATAGCGTCATCTGTCCTTACAGAGTTGTTTTCTGCAGTCAAGAAAAGAAGAAAAATCTGCCTGGGACTAGATTTCAAGTACTTAAATGGATTTTAGAAGCCTAACTCAAAGATTTCAACTCCAAATATGAAAGTCCTCCCTAAGGTGTCTGCAGTGTGCCAGCAAATGAAAGTGCTTGAGGAGCTAAAGATGTGATGGGGAGTGCTATAAGCCACAATGAAATCCAGATAATAGGCTTAGCAGCTTCTAAATCTCTTGAAAAGCCTGGTGTATTAGGTGGGCTCTTTAGCTCAAGTAATGTGTACTTGGTTGCATGGAGTTCAGCCATGTCTTCTTTTATTCAATTAGCTGGATTGGAGAAGTTCTAAGTTTTGCTCTCTATTCTCAGGACTGTTTTATTGTAAGTAGTCAGAAGAAAGAAATGAATGTAGATAGAGGAAGCAGAACCTGATACTCTGCTGTCCTTTCCCCTCAGTTAAATCCTGTAGTCATCACACTGTAGAAGTGGCTTTATTTTTTTTCCCTCTGCTTGCTCCTCTGCTTCTGTGATTTATTTTATTTTTTTTTTAATTTTTTTCCTGTCTGCCTGAAATTCTGGCTTTTCAGGTGGGGAAGAAAATGTCCATCCAGGCATGCTTTAGTGAGTAGTCTGACTGGTGTACTCCTGTACAGAAGGCCAGCATGACCTAGACAAATATTTCTGTTTTCTGTATTTACCTAGGGTGTCACACACTTGTTCCCGGTGTTTGACTTTGGCTTCCTAGAAATTTCAGCTTACTGGTTGTTTTGGGTAACCTCTCTGAAACATTTAACTCTGCCTCTTCTGATAGCTTTTCAACCTAAGTACATAACACTGAAACAGTTTTACACCATACTCTATGTACTTAAGTCCTTTCTTGTTCTGGTCTTTGTAGTAAAGGCACACAGGATTTCAAGAGCCATGATGAACTTGAAACTGTTGGATGGCATTGAGACTAAAGTTAGAGTTAGTTCAAGAAAAGTGGCATCAGAGTGTATTTATCTGAATGAAAAGATTCCACTTTTACTTAATCTTTTCTCTGAACAGAACTAGAAACAGACTGAAATAATCATAAATTAAGTTTTAATGTTTGAACGTTGATGAGCACATCTTAAAAGAAGAATTTGGCCTAGGACTTGCCTTTGCATTCCTTATTTCAAGGAAATTACTCTTAGCAGTACTGCAGTGTCAGCAGCCAGCTGGGTAACACTCTCCATTTCCCTCACTTAGACTTTTCTGCAAGATGTGGAGTAACAATTTGAAGGATTTGCTGGGGTGGGGTGTTAACTTCTTCTGCTGTTCTTTGTTTTACTACTGTTCTTAGAAGCTTTAAGTATGTGAGTAGCCCCTTCTCGGACCTGTTAATACATTGCTGGTGCTAGACATTTCACTGTGGGGGAGGAAGAGGAAGGAACAACTCAGCCTGGAAAGATCTCAGTCATTTAATAAGAACACAGAGGAAGCAGCAGAAGGAAGGATACAGCTGAATACAACAAAAGTAACTTAGCTTTTGGTGAGGAGGAAAGTCATGGGGGAAAATTTGGAAACCATGATGCCTTAATGTGTCTGCTGTGAAAGCCTTTCTAGGGCCTTGGGTCCTGCCTCCTCTGGTTGTGCCTGCTTCGTAACGCTGGGGACCAAAACCTAATTTTTGTGATTAAGTTTTTTAGGCTGCCTGAAGAATTTAGTTTAGTTTAAATTCTCCTGGTAGAAATTACTAGGAACTTCTACCCTTTCCCACACACAGCAAGGGCAAGCAGTTAGATCTGAATCCTATGCTGATCCACCTAAAGATCCATTGACGTGCGTTTCTCTTTTTCCTAACACAAATTCAATGGATGTGTGCTCTGCTGTTGCACTTAATCCCTCAAAAAAACTGCAACACTTCCTCGTTCTTTTCAATATAGGAACTTCAGTTGCCATCTTAGGCTGGAGGGAAAAGTGTTTGGGCATGGCGTTGTGCTGAGGCTCTTGGATTCTGTGCTGAGCCTCACTGTTGACCTCCCTTACTGTCCTTTTTGGGTAAACGAGAAGCAAACAAGATCAGTTAGATTTCAGTCCTCCACTGAAAGCTTATCAGTTCTAAACCATCATTCCTTGATCAGAAATTAATTAACTGGAACTTCATTAGTTTGCCTTTTACCAGCAAAGGTCTCTAGCCCTACACCTGAGGATAACAGACCCTTTTATGTCCAGGTCAAAATTCCCATTCAGTCCATGCATGATTTCTTTTCTCTATTACCCAGCAGGATTTTTAGCCTAGTTCTGTCACCATTTGAAGAAAAAGAGGGCTCATAGTTATATATCAGAAAAAGCTGCTACCTAAGAAACTAATCTTTTTGGTTTAAGATGACAGCAGAAAGAGTGGTAACTGCAAAGGAGCTTGGAGCATGGCATTAATGGTTGGTATATAAATTAAATGGAAGCCTGCAGCAATCTTAGATGAACTTCATTTGGACAGGATATTGTGGCATATAATATCTGGTATGAGATTATATACTAATCTTTTCATTCAGAATAAAACATGTAAATATCAGGAGTAGTATTAGATACTTCAGTTATTAAACTTGGGCTTGAGTCCCTCATTGTACAGAAAATGACATTGTATTTACATGTGTGGTGTAGCACTGGGAGAAGAAACCAATTTTCTTTCTAGTCACCTGCCTGATTAAGTCTGGCAGTGTTATCTGGAGCGTTTTTAACACAGAAATACTTAAATAACATTTACTAAACACTCTTCCATTGTTTCAACTACTGTCAATCACTCTTGAGAGCTGTACAAAAATAAATCGGGACTTTTTGCACCACAGTTTTTTATACATTATGAGGTTCCTGGAATCTTTGAACACCCGTCTGTGCTACATTCTTGAGTGCTGAACCATATTAGTTGTTTGGAAAGCTTGTTTAAGGAAACAAGCTTTGTTTCTCAGTACTCACTCTTTAAAGTAAAATAGAAGTTTTAAACTGCTTTTAACTATTCAAAATTGCAGAATGATGGCCTCGCAGGAGCAGGTCTGGCCAGTCCCAATGAAGGCAATTGGAGCACAAAACCTTCTGACAATGCCTGGAGGAGTGACCAAATCGGGGTATCTTCATAAAAAAGGAGGCACCCAGCTGCAGATCTTGAAGTGTAAGTCGAATGAGTATTAACTAAATTAGGTGTTTTAAATGCTTGCCTCTGGGGCCTCTAACACATATCATGTTAGCAGACTCTTTATTGAAGCTGTTCTTCCACTTTGTACTGGAATACAGTTTTACTTGAATATATGTATGAAAGACCCCTACTGAAAGATTTCTCCTTTAATTATTTTGGAACTGTAAATCTTAAATAACAAATGTTGTCGTTTATTTTGCTTGTTTAAATTTCTTGTCAAGTCCTTCACAAGTAAGATTTTTCAAGACAGATTCCTAGGATAAGTATCAATTTCAAATACCCTTTTCTAAAAGAAATTAGTACTCAGCTTTTTTTTCCAGTTGGTTAATCTGTACTGGAAAAATATCCCAACTCCTGTTGCTGTTGTGAAATGGAAATTTTCTCACTGCCAACATTGGGCTGTACTTAAAACCAGTAATTTCTTTTGAAATCAGAGTCTGTTTACATGGAGAAAACTTCAGGTTTTGGCTTTATTTGTGTGCTATTCCTATGCTATTCCTGTTTATATTGAAGCTATACATATATAGTTAAGGACAAAGATTACCGCCTTTGATATAGGAAGGAGTCTTGGCCCCTTTCAAAAAAAGAAAATAGAACATCATTTTATTGGCAGCATTATGTACTTAAGGTGAAAGAAGAGATACCATCATGGTTTTGGGATGGATGTAAATAAGTGTTTGTAGCCTGTAGCTACCTTCCCCCTGTTGTTTATCCTGCTAGTAAAGGAGCACAGGTGGAGGTCAGACCTGCAGTCTCTGAGGCTGCTTTTGAAGTTTTCAGATCAGCTGCCTCTCAAATGAGGGAATCAAATGCTCCTGAAACTCTGTGAATAGACAGCTTTACCATGTGATTGATCATCAGCAAGCTGTCCCTTAACTAGTTTGTGCTCATTTATAATGATTAATAAGGTTACTAAAATCTTAAGCAATAATTCTACCCAAGTTCTAGTTATTGTACTGCCCTTGGATTCATGTTTTGTTCACTTTTTATCTCTTCAGGGCCATTGAGATTTGTGATCATCCACGAGGGATGTATCTACTATTTTAAAAGCAGCACATCTGCATCTCCCCAGGGTGCCTTTTCTTTGAAAGGTTACAACAGGTGAGTGCCAAAAACTTGTTTAACACCCAAACTCCTTGTAGTTAATGCAAGAGACTATGGGCTTAATTTCCAACTAAGTTAAACACAGTTAAACATCTGTTCTTTGGGTTAAGCATTGATCTTGGATTCCAAGAGAAGTATTCCGTTCAAATTGTGTATATGACATTTCCAGTGCTTGGCAAGTGGGTAGCCTTCATGTTCTGTAATTTGACCAGTAAAGCTGTATGAATTGCAATGGGCTTACTCTTGTTATTGACTTAATGCTTGTGCAGATAGATGTGGATTCTTTCAGACAAATGATCTTTGTTCTGTAGGGATTTCGATGATCATCATAAAACTAGAAAGGAATCAGAAAGGAAAATTTATGGAGTTACTGATTCAGCAACTCTAGTGTCAAAACTGAACTACAGAGTGATAAATAAGAGAATGCACATGCAGGATGTCTTACTCGTTTTGCTACACTTTTTAAATCTTAATATTTGCTTTGCAAGTTGAAGATAAAAATATATGGCTTTCAGGTTAGCCAGTCCTGTCAGAGTCTGAGTGCAGCAGACCTACAAGGCCCACTAATGGAAGTCCAATCCAACCTTAGGAAATTGTTAAGAAAGGTTTAATGAGAGAGGGAATGCAGAGAAATATCAGTGCAATTTTCTTGGTTTCGTATATGTTATTATTGTACTGTATAATGTTCTCGGACTTCTGGAATAAGGAATTATCTTTTCTTAGATTATGACAGCTTTTCTAACTGAGCACAACAGTGGCATATTTTAGGGGAATGCACTTGTAAACGTTGTAGCTAATTAAAAACTCAAGATTAATTTGTAGAAGAAACCCATGGTGTAACGTGGTTGTGACACTAACTCCTGTAATCCACATTAATATGAAAAACACCACGGAATTTGTAAATGCTAGAGACTGTGTTATTGCTTTTTATGTATCTGCATTCTAGCAACCTTGCGGAGATCTTGGTTGGAATAGGGACCAGGCCTCAGTATTATGCACAGAGGGAAACATTATTGAAAAAGAATTTGAAATGAAAGAATTATTCAACTGGGTAGTTGCATGAAGGGGTTTTTATTTTTTTTTCCCAGAGGAATCTCAAATGAGGAAATTCTGTATACACACAAAAAAAGAAAGAAGTTGAGTTATGCTTGTTTTAAAATAGTAAAAAAAGTGCAAGAAAGTGTTTATGAGGGAAAAGTGACAAAATTAAGTTAACTTTTAATATTAGTTTTCCTAATTTTCCTTTTTTTCATGGGAAGCGTATGTTTTGATTTGTCCTCTGAAATAGTGCCTTTCTGAAAGAAGGACCACAAGCACCCTAAATACTTCTTACTGTGTGTGACACTTGTGAATTAATGCAGTTCACTAAAACTCTTGAACACGTCAAAGCATCCGTTCCTAATTCTGGCTGGCGGTTGAATGAGTGCTCTTCCTCCTGTCAGAGCTCTTGCATTGTCCTTTCTACCACTCAAATGGAGAAGTACTACCAATGCACATATGGGGATTTCTGTGGTGTTTTCCTGGGCTTGGGGGTTATTTTTCATCAGGCAAAACTGGCCAGTATAACTGCTTTCTGTCAGAGCTTTCTGACTCGCTCAGCAGCATTAACTTTATAGATTAAGGCGTTTCTGTATCGGTCGTTGTGTTTCTCAGGGTTATGCGGGCAGCTGAGGAGACAACATCAAGTAATGTGTTTCCTTTCAAGTTAGTTCACATAAGCAAGAAGCACCGGACGTGGTTTTTTTCAGCTTCTTCTGAAGATGAAAGAAAGGTAACTTTCTTCTTCTTTTACAACATAATTTTCCTTGAAGTGGAAAGCAAATCTTGGACTTCCCTAAAATCTAAATGAACTGGAAATGCAGCTGTCGCTGAAATTTGTATACCTAGTTCTTTGGGCTCCTCTGAAAATCATGTCTGAAGTTTTAACTACTAAGTTGGTGTTAGTTCAACTTGTAATTTAGGGAATGGCTGTAAGTGTCATACTAGATAGCATATGTTTCTCCATATTCCATAAATATTTCATATTTATTTTTAGCCAAGGAACAAATATTTATATGTTTAAACCTTTGATAAAGTGTGAAAACTGTTCAGTGAAATCTCTTGCCCATAAACATACTACAAATCGGTACCTGGTTTTGGAAATAACAGCTTGAAAGTTGAAAACTGAAAATTTAATATTTCAGTATGTTCTTACAGCATTTTAGGCAGTCAAAACATTTGACTGAGTCCTTTCAATATAAAGTCATGGATATATACTATTTCAGTGTGTGTTCCCTGCACAGTTGCTCTGTTCTTACAGAGGACAGATACATCTGTGTTTAATGATTTAAAGATGGTTGTGTTGAATGTTGTATTTTTATTTTTGTTTAGAATTGGATGCTGTCCTTGAGGAGAGAAATTGATCACTACCATGAGAAGAAAGAAACAATAACAGAATTCAGGTATAAGCCCTTAATCTTTATTAGGTTTTTATCACTTTTGCACTAGCTCTTGACAGTGGTGGTTTAGGCTTTTCGCACCTACAAGTAACTTGCTGTTGAATAAGAACAGGTGCAGTAAGACCCAAGAAGGAAAGCCCTTCCTAATTCATACTTTAAAGAACACCAAGACAAAAATAAATCTTTTTACTAAGAGAACTTTAAATGTCAGCTTTGTGTAATACAATCTTTTTAAAAGACAGCAGCAACATATAAGACTGTTAATTGGGAAATAGGAACAGATGGCTTCTGCTTTTCCAACATTCTTTTCCAGTGCTAGAGCCCTGCTAAACAGAAGATACTCTGTCTTTTTTTTTGCAGTGACTCTGGTTCTGATGCAGACAGTTTCTATGGCTCAGTAGAACGTCCCATTGATATCAAGTATTCTCATCATTCAGCAGATAATGAAGGTGACAAATCAGATGCTGATAAATAAGACTTCTTTTTTTGTTTATTTATGTCTTCTGGATTCTGCAGGAATTATTCCCTTAACTTAAGCAAACTGATCCATTTTGCAACTGTTTTTTTTACAAGGTGTATAGCTGTTGTAGTTTTAAATCAGAAGCAGATGTTCTGTTAGTAAAAATAAAGACATTCAGATCTTTCAAGGAGGTTAGTTAGAAGTGAGGACATGACAGAGAGCCTGTCCGGAAGGCACTCACAACATATTTCAGCAACTGACTTCTAGTCAAGAAATATATTAGTAAAATCCAATATGAGAAACCTTGCCTCAAGGTTCAACAGAAATCCTTTACTAGGCCTTTTCTCATCTTCCCTTTCAGATTTCTAAGGGCAGGGTTGATGGGAGTGAGTATTCTCATTTCCTGAAAGGAAATTCCTGACTATTTTTCTTGACTAAGACAAAAAGGCAGAACTGAGTCTTGTTAGGAAATCCGGTTCAATTGCTGCAAAGCAGAGGAAAACCAACTCATCAGCATTTCATGTAGGATCGTAGTTTAGTCCTTCTGTGTTTATGGGAGGGAAGGTTTGTATGCAAGATGAATTATGGTAAGAGGCCTAGTAGGAGTTTAAATTAGGAAAATTATCTGATAAAAATCAGTTCTTCTATTCTTACCTTTTTCTCTTTTTAGTGCATTCCTCTCATACTGTTCTTGAGACTCCTCTTATAATCAATGAGAAAGTACTGCCTAGAAGTAACATGTTTTTCTTGTCTTGATTATTCTGATTTACAGTTAGAGACAACATTGAAACCACTTAAGCCATTTGTTGTGGCACATTTTTTTTTGTTGCCAGAGCAAGGCAGAGTTAATTGTAGATCACTAGGCTTGCTTAGGCTTCCATATTGCAAAATCATAAATGTTTCTGTGTTAGGGTTAAGTTTTGGGGATTATATTTTTTCCAAGTGGTTTTGCCAATACATCCATGTAGTTGTGTGATTAGAATTTTTCTCAGGAAGGCTATAGCACTAGAAATTTTAACTTAAAAGTTGGAAAAAAATTTCATATTTAGCGTACTTCATCTCCCCCTGTTGTAAGTGATGGCTTTCTTAATTGACATTAAAATTTAAGGAAACACCTATTCTAGATGGCAGAGAGTTGGAGCAAAATTATTAATTTTTTTTTTTTACCTCTTTAAAAAAAATTCTGAAAAATATTTGTTTATTAAAGAGCCCTAAGTAGTTGATACTCTTTCTTGGTTCCAGGACTACTTATCAGAGTCTAACACACTTATTTTTATCTGTAGATTATGACCAGGAGGAAGAGGATGAGTCCTACTTGCAGCCAGATACTTGTGACATAGTGAAAGATGGTATGTGATTTCTTTGATTCCCTTTATGAAAGGCCCCCAGTGAAGGCAATATTCACATGGAATGCCAGGTTTTTATTTTGCTTTGGTCATAACTAAAACATTGCAAGTGGTAAAATAACTGAAGTAATGCACGTGTATCTAGAGAGGTATTTAGGGTCAGAAGTTTATAGTAACAGCAGTAACCATTTACAGAAAGCAGAACATGCTTGCAGGCCTCCTGCCCTGGATGACCTGCATCTGGCCATCAGTCTGGAGCAGGACTAATGCTTTTAATGTAGTCTGTTTTTTCTTTATTTTTAGCAAAGAGAAAAACCTTTGCTAAGTCATCACAAGCCATGCCTGAATAAAAATAGCAGGAGTTTACTGCCTATAACATGAAGAACTATGCTGAAAGTTAAATGCTTATCCAGCATTTTGGGTACTGTCAGACCAGATGCCAGTGAAATACCTTAAATCACATAGAAAATTAATGTGAAAAGTGTTGTTTGTTGACATACTGTATTTCCCCTCAGAGTGTCATGCTTTTGGATGTCTTCTTTCTGCAGATATGGTGCTGCCCCCAGCATACCCACCTCCACCCGTTCCTCATGTCAGAAAAGCTGCCTACACAGAAGCAAGGGCAAATTCCTATGCTGGCAAACCTACAGCACCAGCACCACCACCACCTCCGAAGAGGAGCTTACCTGATATCAAACTAGAGGATCCCGTAACCATGAGAGAGCCGCAGTGCCGAGCTGAACCTAATCTAAAGGTTCAGTCCTCAAGCCGGAGACTAAGTGAACAGTTGCCCCCTGTGCCCCCTTTGCCTGTTTTCAAGAAGCCTGTGTGTGTCAAAGAATCTCACCCATTGCCTCCAGACCCTCTGCCTCCAGCCCAAGTCCTTGCTCTTCCAGAAGGATGCGAGAAGCTAAAAAACTTAAACCTTTCACAGCGAACTCCTCCTCCACTACCAGCCAATAAACCCAAGCTGTCACAGCTCACTGAAAAACCAGTGGAGCTGAAAGTGCCAAGAGAACATGGTAAACCTGGACTGTTTGTGCCACCAGTGCTCCCAAAGCCACCTGTGCCAAGCCACCAGCCCCCTGGAATCAAGCCTAGAGCAGAGAAGTCTTCATGTCCCCAGTTACAGTAAGTATGAAAACACAATGCACTATTATGTTTTTCCATTGTGTATTAGTTAACGAGTAGACAGACATATTTCTCAGATTCATAGTGATACCTGTTTCTCTTCCCTGCACCATCCCTCTCTTCCTCAGTGTTGTGCTTTTATTGCCTGTGTTTGTTATTTGAAAATTCTGTAATGAATTTAGTTTCAGAAATAGTTCAGAAAGAAATAGTAGATAAACCAAAAAAAAAATAATTACATCAAAGTTTTGTAGTTAATTTGTTTTCAGGTGAGTCTCAAAGCCTTAATAGCATTTGACTGCAGTGAATAAGAAGCCTTTATGTCAGAACCTCAAGGAACTACAAAAACAATTTCAGGCTTCTGTGGAGATAGGAAATGTGTTCCATTTTATATTAAGATCAACTTCAGTAAGGGATGTGGAACTAGTTATGGTGGCGAATCAGATGAAAATATTTTTGTCCATTGGATCATTCAGCAGCTCTGAAGAACAAGTAATACACTCTTTAAAGACAAAATACAAGGAAGACAGTGACAGACTGGAGTGAGTCCCATGTCAGGCCACCAAGATATTTGGGCTATAGCACATAAGTGAGGAGAGGCTGAGAGAACTGGATTCATTCAACCTTTAGGAAGACCAGTGGGAGATCACTGGTACCTGCTACTACTTAGTGGGTGGGTTCGGCAAGACAGAGCAAGACCTCCTAGGTCTGCAGTGTTTTGGGATTAGAGGCAACAGGCAGAAGTCACAATTTGGGAAATTACAGGTAGGTATTAGGAAAAACTTTTTACCATGTGGATGGTGAAACACCAGAACCAGGTAGCTGTGGAATCCCCATGCTTGGAGATACTCAAAACTTGATTGGTTATAGCTTCCTGAGCTGAGTGATCTGGTTGGACCTCTTTTGTGCAGGAGCTTGGACTAAATGACCTCTAGAGGTCTCTTCCTACCTGAATTAATCTATGATTACTCAAATTATTTTGCTTTCCAGCTCTGGGGCCCATCACAAGAAAGGTGTTGGCCTGTTGAAAGTGGTCCAGAGGAGACCACTAAGTTGATTGGAGGGCTGGAGCACCTCTCCTGTGAAGACAGGCTTGGGGGAGTTGGGGTTGTTCAGCCTGGAGAAGAGGAGGCTCCAGGGAGACCTTCCAGCACCTTCCAGTACCTAAAGGGGCTACAAGAGAGCTGGAGAGGGAGGGATTTTTCACGAGGGCATGTAGTGGTAGGACAAGGGGGTAGGGCTTTAAACTGAAAGAGGGAAGGTGTAAGTTTAGATTAGATATTAGGAATTAATTTTTTTACTGTGAGGGTGGTGAGCTACTGGAACAGGTTGTCCAGAGAAGTTTTGGAGCATGGAAGTGTTCAAGGCCAAGTTGGATGGGGCTCTGAGCAACCTGGTTGAGTGGAAGGGGGGTTGGAACGAGATGATCCTTAAGTTCCCCTTCCAACCAAAACCGTTCTATGAACTGAAATTTCTGTTCTAGTTTTACTATCCCTTCAGTGTTTTGTGTAAATTTGTTCTGTTTTCCTGATGACATATCCTTCAGTTTTCGTTCTGTTTCTTCCAGGAGATCACCACCAGATGGACAGAGTTTTAGAAGCTTTTCATTTGAAAAACCAGCACTACCCTCCAAGCCAAGCCAACCTGATGATGATAACTCTGATGATGACTATGAAAAAGTAAGATTAAACAGATGATCCATTCTCAAAGAATATTTTTTTCCTTGCTCATGTATACTTTTGGCAATTGTTTTAAATACATTATTCCAGGAAAAGAATAGCTTTCTGAAAGCACAGTGCTGTGTAATTTTTTTTTAATTTCTTTTTGAGCCTCTTTGAGAATACCTTGATAAGTTCTGGATTTTAATACTGGATATAAAGGAGAAAAAAGCATAAAGTATTGATTACATCACCATTAATAATTTCAGATAGTGATGGCTGTAACTTATTTGGATAACAAGTTGCTCACATTTTTAGTTGTCATTGACTTACACGGTGATTTTATTTTCTTCCTATTTTTTACAGGTTGGGCTGCCTGCTTCAATATTTCTTAATACCTCTGAATCCTTTGAAGTTGAAAGGTAAAAATGTGACTTTTAAAATAGTTACTTGGAAGTCCTACCAAAACCTGTACTGAGCAGTAGTGCAAAGATAATTTTGATAGGTACGACTTGTGTTTAAAAACACACTACAAGTATTTAATATGGAAATCCTTTCTTAGGGAAGTTAGTTCAGTGCTCGTGTATCAATTGATAGATGAGAATGCAACGTGATTTTGGTCCATTTGGGGAAGGTTGTTCTGCCAGGAAAGTAGATGAGACCAGAAAGCCAAATCTTCTGTGCTGCACTGCTGGTTTGGATGTTAGAACAGTGACATTCTTTCAGTGATGATCTACTATGAATTATTACAACTGATATAGAGATTTGTAAAAAAGGATTTTAGGACTGTAGGCACTTGACTTATCTGAGCCATAAAATGCTAATATATGTAATTGCTTATTCTTTTTAGGATATTTAAAGCTAGTAGCCCACAAGGACAACCGCAAAATGGATTGTACTGTATTAGGAACTCATCTACTAAGCCTGGAAAGGTAACTTGCAATTGCTGAATCTACCCTTCAAAAAACTTCTTGATTGAGACATACTATATCTTATGTATGACAAAGTACTTAATAATTTAGATGGGCTCTTTTCTTAAAGCAAGAAAATCTGAGACAATTGCTATCCTGTCAGAGATTTTTTTTTTTTTTTAGGCTGAATTTTAATTGATTCCTCAATAATACATTGACTTAGAAGAGCTTGGTTGCATAGACTGAATATGTTGCATTTTTCTTCTTCAAGGTATTGGTTGTATGGGATGAACCTGCAGGAAAAGTGAGAAACTACAGAATCTTTGAAAAGGTTAGTCGCTGCACTCTGTGTGCATGTGTATATTATATATATGTGTGTGTATATAAAATGTGGGTGCATATAGGTATGTATTGGAATTACTAAGTTAAAGTCTAAACTTGTTCCCGTTCCTGAAAGTAAAAATCAGCTGATTTACAAATATCTTGTCTAGGGTGAGAGTTTGAGTACTCAGATCTGGGCTGTCTAGTTGGTGTATCATGGCTGGGCTTCGCGAACGAAGATTTAGGAGTTGGTGTATCACACAAAAAATAAACTGTAAATGTTCACATCTAAATTTCAGCTCCAGTCGAATCCTAAAGGATGGAATATTAAATTCCTGAGTTTAATATGGACTTATTTGTGTGACTGACTAGTTTGCAAGGCAGTCATATGTTTGAAAGAACTTCTTTAATTCTGATGATGGAGTTTCGGCTTTTCCTCTTTAAACAATGAGTTGGAAACATTACTGTCAATGATTACATATGCTTTCTGTTCTACAACAGGATGACAAGTTTTACCTGGATTCAGACATCATGTTTTTGAACATGGGAAGTTTGGTTGAATACTACAGCACTCATGTCTTACCTAGTCACGACAGCCTGATGCTTCGGTGTCCTTATGGTTACTCCAAACCAAGGTGACATGACAGCCCTAGCTCACTGACACCCCACTGCCCTTGAGTCGACTGTGGACTCCTGCCACTGCTGGACATCCTGCTGTTTGCACACACAAACTGAGTCTGTTCCCACCATTTATTCTCACATGAATTGTATATAAACGCCATATAAAGAACTCTTGGTAAAACCTTACAATCCAGATCCGTGGATTTGATGGTCTTTTCTTTCAAAAAGATCTGAACTGATTATGCTGGGAAAGCTGTCCAGGATACCCAGACTTTTTATAAAACTGCTGCTATCACTAATCTTCTTGGAATGTCAAAGATGGGCATGGACAAAGAAGTGGACTGAATACAACTGATCCAGAAAATGGAAGCTTGTGGACATATATCAGAATTTACTTGTGACAGGGAATACTAATACTCTGACTTGAAGGTAGTGCTCCTAAAGTCAGCACTGGTGCTCAACTGAGATATTCTTTTGTATTACTTGTATAGTTGACATGTAAATAATGAAGACTTCTGTGCAAACTATTTGATTTACTATGGGTAAAGATGATCAGGAAATCTGGCTTTTTTTTAAGCCACCTCATACATACGTGTACCTTCCGAGTACAGTGTCTGCAGTAATCACTGTCAGGTACTATCCAGCTGATACAGTTGTGGCATCTCAGTCTGAATCTGTATCCACAAACTTCTTTTTTTTCCTGTTACCTTTTCAAAGTTTACACATGCCCATTTTAATGTTGTTACCACTAGATTGCCACAACTTTAAAAACATAACAAAACCATCACGGAATAAGAATTTTCTGTTTACAAAAACAATAAACCAGGTTTTAGCCCCTAAGGAATTTTCCTTACTAATCAGATGTAGTATGAGGAGTCATACACAGGAATTGAGGCAAGAAAGTCTGCCTCCATCTTTTGCAAGAGACACAGACATACACAATATCAGTCTTTTGATCTCTGTTCCTGCTCTAATAGGGTTTATGTATATATTAAGTACTCAAAATTCAGATTTCGTTGAATATCTTAAGTTTCTAATTCCTTTTATTTTAAATTAGTATCCCTGTGATTCACTACTCTGACATGATCGACTCTAAAGAAGGCTCAGCCAAGACAGCATTTAAAAAACATTTTTGGCAAATACATATATGTATATCAGAGCAAGTTCAAGTTTCTTACAGTATTCACATACACTGTTTAGAAAGTAAATTTTTCTCTGTCTGGGAACAATGGACTTCATTGTGTCATGACAGTCATATTTACAGTATGTTCTCTTCGGGGCTCTATTCAGATTTTTTTTCCACCCATACACTCAGAAGATTTTTATATTGTACACATACATCTACAACATAACACTTTCTTTACTTGTGTAATACAAGAGTTGAAAATATGTAAATTTTTGTGTTAATGCTGGTTTGTATCTAAATGTATAGATTTCTGAAACAGATAAAAACTTTCAGTGCCAGTTCACCTCATTTTGTGTGGTCATCTTTAATTCCGTGGGTGTGCGTTTTAATGCTCTTTTTGTAGTTGTGTTAGATACTGTTAGACTCTTCTAACCATGAAGTTAAAGGAATTAGTTTTCAGTCCCCTCAAGAAGCAAATCTTCATGTAAGCAACGCTGAGAAATCTGGCATTCCGGTCATCAGACGGTGCAAGGTAATCCCCTCATCCCTCCAGAAACAGGTAGAAGGGTTCCAAACAAATCTGCAATCACTTACACACTTTTCTCCAAGCCCTCTTGCTCCTATGTACTAGTCTGTTTAATGCCAAATCAAACGAAGCTAAATTTCTGGTCTTGGTAGGGAAGAAAGTCACAGCTAGAACACATGGCTCAGTCTATCTCCTATACCTCTCACTAAGCTGCCTCTCTTCATTCCTTCACCACAAAGCAACCTTTGTGTCTTCAGCCTCCTGCAAGCTCCTTAGCTTTAAAGGAGTTTGTTGGAAAATGTAAAAGCATTTGGTGAGCAAAAACAGTTTATGAGTTTGGTACTATCCAAGTTAAAACTAATTGATACTAGTTGGGAAAAAGTCTTGCTTCCTCTGTCTGAACCTCCAGGAAAAAGTGTTACAGGGGCTATTTGGGAAGGGGGGGTGTTGCTGTTCTAGGGGAAAGAAAATTAAAGTGCTTTTGAAAATAAAACAAAGGACAATCAATCAATAGGCAGCATGTCATAAAAAGTGAATCAATATCCAGACACTTTTTCTATGACAATAAAGGTGCTTTGTGTCAGCAGTCAAGTATTCCCTGGTTCAGAAGTTCAGTTTTTACAAGAATGTGCGTGAGGAAGCAGCGAGAGCATTTGTAGCCTCCAGTGCTTCATCCTTTGGAACGTGCAAAAGGGCACTGAAGATTTTGGAAGCTTTAACCGTGATTACTTAGAATCTGGGGACATCTGCTGGTCCGCCTGTTCCACGCAGGGATCCACACAACCTGATTCCAGCTGCTGAGCATGTGCGTGGAAGTCATTAGAGAGAAATCAATCTTAAGGGACTTCAGATAGAAGCTAGAGATTAAAGCTAACTTCAGGTGGAAACTTAATGAGCCGGGTCTTTGAATCTTAAGAATCTTTTGGCTCACCTTTCACATATGTAGCAATGTTGTTTAGCAAAATTACTCATTTGAATGTCTTTTAACCTAGATGACAACCAAATTAATTCATATTTCTGTGTTAAAATTATTCTTAAAATAGACTTTGAGGTTGAATTTACCTAATGGACTTCTGAGCACCACCTAAATATATCCACTTTGTGAAGCATTAAAGAGTTGTTTTGAACATTAAATACTTCACCTAGCAGCAAGCAAATTGCATAATGTTGCAATAGTTTCTATCTCATGAAAAAGTCAACTCCTTGATCTCAAGGAGGGGTTTTTTTTCCTAGTAGTGGGAGTGCTTGAGATGCCTGTAATTACAGACCCATCAATAGGAGAGCTGATAGTTCTTTTTCTATAAATACTCAAAGTACCAAAATATCAAATACTACTCCAACTTCTAGAGCAGAGAGCATTTGGGCTCACTTTAATACTGGACAGGCTGAGGTGATCAAGTTCAGTAGGCTCCAGGTATGTAGCAAGCCTTGTAGCACAGCCACCTCCAAATCTATTCCTTCAGGGCTTCTATTCCTGTATCTTAATTACAGGATGGTCATTACAATCCCACACTTGTACCTCCTTCCTTACAGCATCTCGTTCCTAGCAAGCAGGTGATCCAACCTCTCAGGTTCATGGCGTGGCCCTAATGGGTATGTAATCTTGGAGATAGCAAAGAATTGTTTTTAATGTCATTTCATTCACATATATTCACTGGAGTTGGTTTGCACAGAAATGACAGTAATAACCATTTACAGGATTAGATCTCTGGATATATAAAATCCATATATATGTAAAATGTATATCTAAAATGAGGGAAAAGCACCTAACCCTTCTTTGAGTTACCTCCTTCTCTGCCTTTTAACAACCACTTTGTGCAAATGCCCTCTGTGTATGATCTGGGCACGATCAGTTCTCTGGCTGGGGGGCTGATGTGCGCTGAAATTCTGATCTGGAAAGCCATTTACTTGGATGGGGTTTTGCTCCCATAGGGAAGGCCAGTGATGTGAAAGGGCCACCACAGCAGCACAGAAAACAGAAGAGTTTGTTCCATGGAAACTTACTAAAGGATTTTATTACAGGGCAAATATGGAAAGATGTGCCAGGTGTGGCCTCACGAGCTGTGTGTTTTAGGCTTCATTGATTATGTTGTGCTTTAATTTACACTGTGCTTTAATTCATGGTTGGGGTTTTTTTCCAAGGAAATGCCAGCCACACCCTAACCATGGGAGCGCTGATGAAAATGTGTCATTTTAAAATTAAATATGACTTAAGGGAATTAAAAATTTTATATTCTAATATTACAAAGCTTCTCTCAAGATTAATTAATTTTCTCCTATATATAATAATAACCGAAGTATGAACTGCCTTAAAATACTTTTTTTAGGCTTTTCAGCCCTCCTCATTACTTTGAACTTGCCCTGGTACCTTTTTCCTTTCTTTGTTTTACTCTCTTCGGTCTGCTTGTAGTTCTAACGTTGGTTCAAAGGTTCTAACTTCTTTTAGTGACATTTTTCCTTCTCCTACTACTAAGGATGAAGATGTTCATCAGAGAGCAGCTAAAAACAATTTCAGCAGCTCTAGTCACACTGGAATTCATATAGAAGCAACTTGCAGAAAACATAGAACTAGAAGGCAGATGATACTTAGGAAGCCATAGATGTTGCAATTGAAAGAATTGGATTTACTTGGAAAAGCATTTTGGAAAAACAACCCCAAACCTCCACAAAGAATGTCGGTTGCTGGAGTTCCTTTGGCTGAAGCAATCATTGCACCTTTGGTTGCATTTGACTGGAACTGTTATTAACCAGCTTGAACCATGTAGCTCAATTTACATTTCATCTCAGTCTTGTATAAAAATTTCTCTATGCTTCCTGAGCATAAAGTCAATATCTTTCAAAGTTAAAGCCAAAGCGGCCTCTCAGTTTAACAGATTGTATAAAATCTGGCAACATTTAGTATTGGCCTGTTCCAGCTGCTCTGTCCTTTTCCCACCTGCTGCTTCAGTTATCTTTATTTTTTCAGCTCAAACAAACCTCCAATATGTTTTTGTTTACTTGCAGAGGGAGGTGAAAGTAGACCAGAATACATTTTTTTCTTTCATGTAGTTTTCCTATTGAATGTTTCTCATATGTACTTTAGAGTTTGTCTCTACATACGATTTTCAGCCCATTGGGAAAACTCTCCTTCCTTGCATAAATAGTAGAATTCAAAAAAGCAGCTCCCTGTGAAGAATATGAATTCATAGATATAGCCTTACCTACACTGACCAAATTTAGTAATACTGCACATAAACTACGAGGTATTATTACTGCTGTTAATCACAGTTTAAAGTAAGACAACCCATTACATAATTTTAAAAAAGGCATTTAAGTTGAATAATTTCAAAGACAAATCCCTCACAAGTCTTTCAGTAGTAATGCTGCATGTGCTTAAGCTCCCTTGTCCCACCACCAGCACAGCTCTGTGTGCCAGTGAGAGGCACGGCACTTGGGGGCTGCTCTTGGGGTATTTTGTACAGATAATTTCTATTTGTCCATGCACACCCTCCCAGTGCTCCAGCTTTGGTATGACTAGCCTGGAACTGGCTTTTACTTTGCTGGCACAAGAAAGTTCCAATGCAAAGACTTTCCTTTTGAAGGCCCCTGGGGAAAGCAGTAGAGAGTTTGCATACTGGCATTGTTTTATTTAGAGGAACCAGAACTTTGCCTGGGAAATGGAGTAAAAGATCTGTGTGAGATGAAAATGAATGACGACAGTAGGGAAGCAAGTCCTGCCCAGCCAACAGACTGTCAGGACAGAACAGTTCTGGCAGGCCCAGAAAGATCTATCTTGATGCTATCATTCACAGTTTATAGGTAAGAAAGCTGATCTGGAACTGCTTATGTGAAATAAGTGCACCCCATATAAAGGAAAAGATAAATGTCCTAAGGCCAGATGTATGACATCAATCCAGTCCTGTGCTTCTCTCAGGCAGCTTGGAGCACCAAGAAGTGCTAATGCCAGGTAAAGAGGCCAGCTGCATAAAAATAACTGTACAGTGTTATTTTTCTGATATCTAGTAAAGCCAAACTACAGTAATTTGTAAATGAATACATTCACACTGACACTTGTATTTGAGGCTGTTTGATGTAAGTTGAGTCCAGCGATGCTGCTGCTCGAGCCTGCTAAGGAGAACAACTGACTGTGAATGAGTCAGCAAGAGGAACATCTGTACTGCCTGAGCAGCACCACGTTCTGACACCTCTCGTGGGAACATTTTGCTGTCCTTAGCATCCACCACAGTATTTTTCTGGTTTTTGAAGGCCAGTAACCATTCTCCAGTAAAGGTGCAGATGTGCACATGACAAGTGGAAGCCTACTGGCTACAAACTTGCCTTGGTCATTATCCCAGAGCCCACAGCAGCAGCACAAAGATCTTGAAGGAGTCAAATACTTCAGCCTGAAAACTACTGTGTGGTTCATGCTGTACCTTTTGTTGAAGCTGTAATGCTGCAAACCCAGCTGGCAAGAGTTAACAAAGACAAGTTCTTCATGTCTTAAATAATGCAGCAGTGCTTTTTCAGACTGTCTTGCCTTATTTCTGCAGCACAGTGTACTGCTTTAGTGCACATCAGCCCTCCCTTGTGTTTCTGCCCATGTAACCCTACCTTTGCCTTTGCTGCAGCATTGCCCTTCCTGCAGCTGGGCAGAGGCAGGGCAGGAACCTGGTCAGCTTGAAAACTGAACAGGGAAAATAAACACCATCATGCATCAGCTGTCACAGTCTCGGCCTGCAGAGCGAGTTGGTTGATTCGGCAGGAAGCTGGCCTTGCCCCCTCCCTCAGATTAGCCAGGTAAAACAATATTTTCTCTGGCCTCAAGATTATGGGAGATGATGCAAGGGGTGGGGGGAAGGCTGGAAGGGCTCAGTGGGGACCTGTGCTCTTGGGCAGGTCACAGAGTAGGACACAAGAAGGGTAAAGGAACAAAACTCTCCTGCAGCAGGAGAGTGAAGAGGAGCTGACAAAAGGCATCGTTTGATTAGCCCAAGCTGCTTGTGCCGCTGCACCCAGTGTTACACAAACACTGAGAGGAGCACCACCAGAGAATGAATGACCCTGCCTCCCCCAGCCCCCAGGCACTGCTGCTGTCCTCAACATCCCCATCCTTCCTGGCACTGCTGGTCTTGGAGCCGCGCACTGAGCCGGAGAGGAAACCCATTCAGCTTAAAACAGCTTAAAGCAGTATTTTTTTTCTGAGTTGCTTTTAACATGGATTCGTTCTCCCATTTACTTTTCCAGACAAGAAGAGAGAGAGCTTTATGTGTTAAATGCCACAGTGAGGAAAGGATAGGAAAGAAAGAGAGGTGCCAAGATGTAGGAGCATTTTGACAGATAATCAAAGAGAAGACACTGCATGAGGCAGGTGGCTGGAGCCCACAGGTCCAGAGCAAGGACAAGAGTGTGCTACCTGGTATGTACACACATCCACTGGGTTTAACATAGGGACAGGAAGGTGAAGTGACTTTAATCCTCTAGGCTTACAGCAACAGTTCTTACAAAAAGATGTTCAGACATAATTCGCTA